TTCCCTGGATTGCCACATGGCTAACTCTCACTTTTCGTGTCTGTGCTTACAACTCATCCCTCAGCGAGGCACCACCTGACCGCTGTACTTAATGATGGCAACCTCCTCCCACTTTTTATGCTCCTTTCTGGCTTAATTTCTCCCCATGGCACACATTATCATCTGACATTCTGCATGTTTAATTATTTAATTTGTCCATTGGCAATCTCCCCCTAGCAGAATGAAACCTGTGAAAGCAGGAAGTTGGGGGCTGTTTTGCTCCTCCCTTGCCTGTAATAGTGGCTGGCACATGGTAAGTACGCAAGAAAAATTTGCAGAATTTATTTCTGGTTGTGGGTACTATAGGATTCAAATCTTAAAGTCATTGCTTTTATATTTATATACACAGTTTCTAACCCTTCAAATAACTCTATAGAACAGGGATTTACAAAAATGATGTTGATAATAATGATAACAGCAGCAGCTAACAATGAATAAATACAGGTATCCCCACTTTCCGAAAGCTCGCTTTAAGCCATTTCGCTATTATGAAAGACCTACGTTAGTTAACTGTCTTCGGTAACCAAAGGAAATCTGGAGGATTTTTGCTTTTACTTAAAAAGCGCTCAGTGTTTGTTTTGCAGGGAGCCGTGATACAGGCGGTGGCCACCCAGAGCAGGGAGAGTGTGGCATGTCTGGGCTCCTTCTCCAGAGCTACACTCAGCATCTCGGCATCAAACTGCCACAGCTCTGAACTGTGTCGGTGAACATCTTGAGCTCAACCGAGTATCTTTATCAAATTGAGTGCATTATCTCAATTTATCTTGTGCATTGCTTAGTAAGATGTGCCCTAAGGTAATCGTTTCTTTGCTTTACGGCATTTCTGCTTACGAAAGGTTTCATAGGAATGGTCTCTACTTTTGGATTGTGGGAGAAGCCTGTACTTATTGTTCCTATGCATTCTTTTCAGTGCTCTGCATAAATTGTGGCAAGCAATCTTCACAACAGACATAAGAGGTAGCATAGTGAAGTCAACCCAGCGCGCCTGGGTTCAAATTCTAGCTTTATCATTTACTGGCTGTGTGACCTTGAGCACGTTACTTAAGCCCCGTGTGCCTCCGTATTCTCATCTGCAAAATGAGGACAGTAATGACAATCTCTATCTCACAGGACTGTCTTATGCTTCATAAGCATTTGATAAACATCACCACCCTTTCACAGATGAAGAATCTGAAGAACCAAAGAAGTTAACTCAACGGTCCTCCACAAAGCTAATCTGTGGAGGGGTCAGGATTTGAACTCAAGACATAATTTCTTCGCTCCATCGACTCCCCTGCCCAACAGCTTGGTTGGCTACACTGATGCAGTTAGGGTTCAGAAGCATTACCACTCCATCTTTCTGGTTTCCACAAAATCCTAAAAAGCTGTGGGCACCCACTTTTCTCCCTAATTCTCAAATCCTTTTGGGGAGACACATGGGGCCCACTGTGTGACTCTGGGAATATCGTGTCTCAGTAAACATCAGTTTCCTTATCTGTAAAATGGGACCTTATGGGGACTGATTGAGACCCAGGATGTAAAGTGCAGCTGACTTCTATAACCTGATTGCTGTCCCTCCCACAGGCTGCACCGGGGCCACACCAGATTACTCATTTCCAAACCCCACAATGTCTTCCCACTTCTTCCTTCTTATTGGTGAAGACAAAGTTCCTGGGAGAAAGCTCACTCTGACTCCCAGGGTTTTTTGTTTTTTTGTGGCCACGCTGCGGCGTGGCTCGCAGGATCTCAGTTCCCTGACCAGGGATGGAGCTCTGGCAGTGAGAGCACAGAGTCCGAACCACTGGACCCCCAGGGAATTCCCTAACTTTCCATTTTGATTTCTTGTCTCGACACTGGCTGCCCATGGCCCTTATCACACTGATAGAGAATTGTAGATTTACTCCTCTGTCTTGTCCACAAAACCATGACCTCCTTAAAGGCAGGGACCAAGTTGCATTCACTTTGCAATCTTGACTGGTACCGCATTTTAAAGATCTGTTGAGATTAAATCTTTCAGGCTCATGTCTGGCATACAGAACACTCTTAACAGACAAGAGTTCCCTCCAGGTTTTCTCGAAAAGAGACAAAGGTAGAAAGAATCACAGTTCCTGTGTGCACATTCTACAAACAAATGCAATAATTTCCTGTCCTTGAACACCAGAGAAAGGCCCTGGCCATCCATCAGGAAAGTACTTACTGAAGCCAAACTGGGAGCTTAAGAAAAGGACAAAGCCATAAATCGCTCTTTCTGGCAATGGCGACGGTGAATTTTCCACCATTTTCCCTGTGTCTTTAGATAATCTGTGGGAAAGAAACACAATCATCTGTCAGTGATTCACACCATTGGCCTATTATTATAACCTCACCGCTTTGCTATGGGCACAGCCTCTCCGCAGTTTTTTCCCCGCCTAAACCACTGCCAACGGGCAGCCTGCACACAGACCTCCAACACACACCTGCTTGCACACGTGCATACAAGCACCCACACCTCGTCTGTAGGCGCAACCAGCCCCCAAACCTCACACGCACGCGCACACAAGCACACGCGCCACAGCGCGCACCTCCCGCAGGGTAAGGTGGGGGGAGGCAAAGGGGGAGCAGGGGAGGGACTGACGCCACTCCAGCTCTGCAGGTTTCGCCTCCGTGCGAAAAGGGAAGGGCAAGCAGGGACAGGAGGCCCGCGCGGCCTCCTCAGGCCTGGGCCTCGGCGCCCGGGACCCGGACCTGCCCTCTCGTGGGGTCTGTTTCTCATTCGAGCCCGGGGACTGGGGTTGGCCCTCGACCTTGGGTCTTCCATGCACCCACTCCGGCCGCTCCCCACAGTTCGGCCACCTCCGTGCCGAATCCTCTGCGCAGGCGCGGACGAGGGAGCCGCAGGGGGGCGAGAGAGGGAAAACAGAGAAAGGCCGAGTCGCCAAGGCAACCCCTGCCCGGGCGCAGGCGCACCGTGACACTCGTCCCGCAGGAACGCGCGAGCGCGGGGGCGGGAGGGATCTGTCAGCTCTCCGCCGCTGGGGGCGGGGCGGCACGACAGCGCATGTGCATTGCGGCCCACGTGACGCGTCTGCAGCCTGCGCAGCTGGCCGCTCCTGCCCGCCCGCTGGCTGACGTGGAGGGCCTGAGGCGGCGGCGGTGGCGGCGGCCCGCGTCCGAGGCTCGCGGGCTGCGGGCCCCGGTGAGTGCACACCTGGCGCGCGGCAGGGCTTCCGGATGTGTCACCTTGTCGCGCTGCACCCGAGATGCCCGGGGAGAGGGGCCCTCCACACCCCCTCCGTGGGTGTGTGGTGAGTGTGGGTGTGTGCGCGTCGCCCCGCGTCGTTGGCCGTGGCGCCCGCGGTGTGTGTGCGCGGGTTGGGTGCTGGTGCAGAGCGGGAGTGTGTGGTCGCTTTTGTCGGCCTCAGTGGGTGTGTTTCCTTTGTTTGGTGTCCTCCTTCTTTAAGTGTGGCCCCCTCCGGGCTTCTGTGCGAAGGTGGGAGAAGCCCCTTTGTGTGCGCATCCCCCGGCCGCACGCGCACCCTCGCCCCAGTCGGTGCGCGGGTGACACCTTCGCTAGGCGGAGGGTCCGCCGGCCTGAGCGCGGGTGGGCACGGGCCCGTGTGTCCCCTCCCGGCTCCTTTGTGTCCGCGCTGGTTCTTCCCGGCGACGGCGTGGGCGCCCCGGCGGTGTGGGAGCCCCAGTTTGTGTCACTGCCTCTCTCCGGGGGTGCGCGTCCTCCGCGCGCGTGGCCGCGCCTCCTGTCGAGACCCCCGCCTGCAGCATCGCCCGCCCGGGGGTGCGTCCTCGCGTGTCCCCGCGCGCGCGTCGCGCCTGGGTCCTGTCGAGTGCGTGACCAGGTCGTCGCTCGCGAGTGTTCGTGAACGTTCTTGCACGCCTCTCCTCTGTCTTGTGTTCCCTACATCTGCGCCACCTGTGCCACCTGTTTTCGTGAGACTGGCTGCCGAGCGCGGGGGGG